AAACAAAATAATAACACGATTTTCTCGTTTAAATTGGTTTAAAAGTCTGCAAGATTTTTTTCATTTGTTATTTCTTTATTTCAAAATATGAGTCGCGTCGTTGCAAATGTTTGTAGATGTTAGTGGAAAAACTATAAATGGTTTGCCCTTGTTGTTACCACTTTTTGACAGCAGGGGTCGCAGTTGATCTAGATATCGAACCTCAGTCGATCATTGGCTGTGGCACTGAGCTGCAGCAGAGAACCAGCACTCACTTTATACCCAAATAAAACATAGACATGAAACATGGATTTCTGTTGATCGAAACCCCACACTATATTTCATGTGTTCGCACAGTATTGGGGAGGTACTTGTACTTGAATGTACTATTTCTACCTTGTGCTTTACTACATTTATCACAATTTCTGACAGTGACAATATTGAAATTATTGAATATTGATTTTCGTTATCATAGGTTAAACTACCCACTATGACAATTACCTCACTTTGACCAAGCTTTAGCATTTAAATGTCATATCAAGACATAACCAACAACAAAATAAAACCATAATAAACATATAGTAGCACTGCATAAAGAGCACAACAACAACAAATCGACAAATAAGACATGATCCCACTACTTGACATACAATGCTAGATACTGTACACATTTTAATATTTCTATTAAAGGATATCCTCAATGTGAAACCAGTGTGTGTGTGTGTAATTGAATCTGCTGTCTTGCTTTCTGGTTCTATTCTTTTGATTTGACTCAAGGCTGTACACACCACAGACATAAGCCTACATAGGCCTTGGATAAATCAGCAAACAAGCGATAGTCAGGCCAGACAAAGACCCTGGATGTCTCTGTGTATCAGACGTGAGTGTTATGAAAACAACGCCTCTAATACTGCTTGGATACAGTCATATGCTGAGATGACAAACTGAGCTGCAGGGTAGAGTAATAAATATTAAGTGTGTAACAAAAACTGAGAAATGTACCACATAGCATTTTCTTATCTTGTTCAATTTGTGTCTCTGTTGCAGTAAGACTGTCTGCAGGACACACGCCTGTATCGGCGTATCAGTTTTGTTTAGCTGGAGGTCCCCTCCAGCAAACCTCAAAAAGTTACTCCATCACATTTCACCAGTTTAGGTGTGAGAGAAACAAGCATGTACATAAGGAATGAATACAAAAAGCAGACATTACAATTCAAGAGGCCACTAACTGTGTATAAACATTATGTTCCAGATTCGATGAACAGCATCCTGCACTCTCAAAACAAATCCCGAAAGCTGCCTCAAGGAAAAGGATAAGATGACATTATTATAGTTCCAACAACATCATGAGTCTGAATGCTACATCTTGATCTGAGAGCGACTAGCATTTTAATTCTTTTTAATAAACGTGTATTTTGTGATAACGTTTTGTTCACTCTAATATGTTATACCTTAGAACCATGAAAATGAGATTACACAAAATGAACTTTTCACAATTAAAATTCCCTCTTCTCATCTTCCCATCATGAACAGTGGTGGATTTATTACCTCTGCCAATGAGGCTCTGGTGGACGGATGTAGTCTGAGTCAGGGAAGAACCCTCTTAAATTCTGGTGTAGATCTAAATCCGGGGGTTGATCCAGGATTTTCTTTTTTACTTTCTTTCACATTGATTTCTCAGAGAATCATTCATTGATCTTGATGAAAACAGGGCATGTTTATGGGCCTGATATTTATCAGTGTGTGCAATTTGGTGCAGATGCAAATAAATGTGGATTCATCTGGGGACCGCTGCCTTGGCGGAGGTACATGTTCCATTCTTGATGAAAGTGTTTTGTTTACTTCAGCAAATACCATAAAGTTTTTTTCAATCCTTTATTCAACATTACAGTTTTATCAGAAATTGGACTGAAGTGTCCCATTATGAATTATGCTTTGATAGCAGTTTAACAACTTTTATTATAAATAGTTTGATCCATAATAGCACTTTGAATTCTCTATACTAACACAAATTTAATGGAAAACGTAGTATAAATAGTGCTATATAAGGGCTTCATGAGTGGATGTGAACTTCATTATTCCCCCCAGTGTTATTAAATTAATTATAAATTCAATTATCTAGGATACACAGCGGGTTAGAGTTATGCAGATGCCTGAAACCTGTTTTCTTAATGAAGCTTACATAGGCAAGTTAGTTGGACAAGTTCAAACTGTAATTTACTGAACCACCGACAGGGGGACAGTCTCAAGGGATAAAAGCAGGTCAGTAGCACAGTCAGGGACCAGCAGCCGTGTTCCTGTGAAAGGTGTCAGTGAGCAGCTGGATGGAAGGATACACCGTGCAAATCTAATTTAATACATGTGATGTGTATTTCTGAAAACACACCACGTTCATTTGTGGGATTTTTCATTGAAATAATAGTTTTTAGTTAGAAATGGGGTGGGGCTGCGGTGGTTACTAATGGTACCCTGCTCTCATTGGTCAAAACGATGACTGACAATCTCCCTGTCCAATCGAATCCCGATGCGATCCGCGCTCTGGTCCAATCTGCATGAGTTTCGCAAATGTGAAACGAAGTTTCCCCAGTAGCAGCAACTAGGGTGTTAGCATTTAGCTTGTCACATCCACCTCAGATGTCCATTTGATTAGAATAAAGTCAGTGGGCTCTTAGTGTGAGGATCCACCGACGACTCCCCTCCACTGTGCCGGACCGAAGAGCGGCGTGTTCGCCATGTTTGCGCCGAGAGGGTCCCAGTTAACCGGTAATTGAAGCTGATGATAGCTGCGTGCTATAAGCTAGCATAGCCATCTGAGCGTTTCACCGGTACAGGCGGACCTCTTTGTCTGACAGGGGAAGGCGTGCTCTTTTGTTAGGCTTCTCCCTTTGTCCGCTGGGTAAAAGGGGAACTGACTGGTCAGGCTTTCGCACTTATCTGCAGTTCTGAAAGTATTTGGAAAATGCAAAAAGCGAAAAAATATTTCACAGAAGGCCTGATTCAGTTGACGATCTTCCTCAGTTTGATTGGAGTTCGCGTGGACATCGACAGCTACTTGAGCGGCTACTACACGCCACTGATAGAGATTAACTTGGGTCCCAGCTCAGCCTACACCCAGACACCCTTCCACAGCCTGAGAGACACTCTTGACGGATACCCCGTGCACCCGAAATGTCCCGAGTTGGACTATTTCTTTGCGAGCCGCCGGCTGCTGGATGAGGTGAAGACCCTGGGCTCACCGCGCTTCCCCACACAGTTGAACGCATGGCTCGTCCACCAAGTGTCTGCCACTGACCAGGCTGACTGTGGGCCTTCGAGCAACGACAGCACCGATTCGGGGTTGCAAAGCCCCGGGGAAGGGGCCAGGGATGACCGTGAGAACCTGCCTTGTGATGGCCCAGAGGTGTCCCAAACAACCCCCGAACTCGGGCCTTGTAGCAATGGAGCCTGTGGCTTTCTCAAAGAGGCAAGTGTGTTGTTGTTGTTGTGTGTGAAGTGTAACACAAAGTCACCCAGAATCATCCACTTCAGTTAAATGACTCATTTATTTCAGTGTTGACTGACGGAGGTAATGACCTGGAGTTAAAACTTCCTGAGAGATAAAACAGGCAGCTAGCTAACTAGCAGCACTAACCCATGTTACACAATGATGGCTGTCTGTCCAACAAATCACTTATTATCTCCCAACATTTCCTGGTGCACCAGCCAGCAGTGTGATAAACTGTTGCCAGAACTTGAAGTGAACATTCACTTTCACATTTGTATGACTGAGTGTATCTACAGCTGTCTGCTGCACCTGTCACACTTCAACATGTATCTCTGTCGCATTAAACCCTCTATAGATGTTGACTTCATAAGATCAGTGGATTGGACCCAAACATTTTAGTTTACTTCACATATTGTCACAATTTATTTGTTGAAATATCCTATTCAGGGTAACTTCTGTATAATGTCTCTCTGCCATTATGTGTTTTTACCAGTTTGTAATCACACCCAGACCTTTCTATTCAACTCTTCCACTAATCCAGTTTTTCTAGCTCCGGGGCTCAAACAGCTGCTTGGTGGCAGTTGTTATGGTTAATTGTGTAACTTTATCCAGGACCCAATCGCCAGCTGTGAGCCTCAAGAGGTGGAGGAGTGAAGCTAACACCCACGCCCTGTTTGCTTACACAAAAGTGGTGGTCCATACTTGAACACTGCCTCCCATGGTGTTTGTTCCCATCGATGGGCCATGTTGACACCCTCCCATTGTAAAATAAGTAACAGCTTAAAGGTACAGTGTGTAGAATTTAGTGATATCTACTGTTGAAGTTGCATGTTGCAGCTGAACACCCCTCACCTCACCCTCTCCTTCCAAACATGAAAAAGAACCTGTGGTAGCCTTTAATCGTAATACAAACAAAAAAGGTGTTTATTTTTAGTCTGGACTAATGTAACATGGCGGCCTCCGTAGAGAGGGTCCCCTCGATGTAAATATAAAGTATTTGAATATAAAGGGCCTTTTCTGGGGTAAAGAAAACTACAATTCATACAATTTAGATGAAACAAACTAATCATGAGAATTATTCTACATCAACTTTATGCCAATAGTTCCCTTTCACCTAAATCTTACACACTGGACCTTTATGATAGTGGTAGAGCAAGATTTTGTGGTTTGTGGAAACATAATGTTTCAAAAGATGTGGTCATCCCACATTTGTGATATTTGACAGTTAAAAAAAAAATCCATATTTATCTCCATTCACTGCATCAGTTGATGCTGGAAAAGCTGCTCCAGTGACAGTGGACAAGCTGAGACAGGGCTCAGGCAGAACTGCGCCACTGTGATGCATGTTTGCCCCCAGCAGTTACAAAAAAAAAACCTGATTCAGCAGTTAGTCTCCGTTTGAAAGTTGAGAAATTAATTTTCTCCCCCGGAATGGAGACATGAAGAATATTGTGTCTGTGGCAGGCAGCTGGTGACCTACATTAAAGGCTGTTCATGTACCAGAAGGATCTTACAACATCTCTCCTGGTTAGGTCATCTCTGAAGATTATTAGCCGGACTGCTAGTGCTCTGAAATTAAATGCACTTTCATATATAAATACACCAACTTGCACATTGTTTGTGTCCCAAAAGGCAGCTGAAGTTAATTGACCTAATTTGAATTTAGTGGGGTCCGGTTTCTGCTGCAATGAAAACAACTGTTAATGATAACAAACGTCATCTTTGTTACATCACTAATCACTGCTAAAGATATCCAGTTATCTGCAATTGCTGGACTTTGGTCACTGAACCAGAAATGTAATGTTCTTCAGGTTCACTCGGCTAATAAACTGTGTGTTTTGCTTTTCCTTCTCTTCTATCCCAAATCCTCTGAATCTCCTGTGCCCTAATTCTATCTCTGCTTTTTTATCCATCCATCCTAACAGGAAAATGACATCCAAATTAAAGAAGAGGAAGAACCTGCTCCGCTCACTCAGTTGGCTCACAGTTCCACACTGGAGCAAGAGGTATGATCCTGATTGTTACAGTTGCTGTCATAAATTGCTGGATACTGTTGATGATGTTTCACACTGCATAAGTGTTTAAAACAGTTTCTGAAAAGTAGCTGCGTTGTTTTTGTTGCAAGAGTGCACAACACAGTGTTTGTCAGTCTGTCACATTTGAAATGTACACATGTGATGGTGTGGAAAATTGCATTACTTCAGTTACACCATTCTGATCCTAGTGCAATTTTGGATTAGGATTGTGAGATTAGGAATGGGGAAGTAGAATAATTACCATCTCTCACAGAGAAAGACTTCCAGTTCCTTTATGTACTAATCTATAAAGATTATAAAAAGAAAGATTATCCATAAATATAAGGATTTAAGAATAATATTATGCCTTTGCAACAGGTTTCCCTCCTGCATTTCATGTAATTTTAAAGTATGTTCCTTTAAACTCTGACACACTCTAAGAACAATACTTACTGTATGAATTAATGTTGTATTCTGTGCATGTTTTGCCTACTTCAGAGTTTACTCGAAGGTATTGCACTGTCTGACCCAGGAAGCCACCCTCCTCCTACCATTGATATTGACCAGCACTGGAGCAGTTTACTCTCTCTGTCTGTCACTGACCTTGATGTAAGTAGTCTGTCCATGTTCATTACTGGTGCGTCAGGAAGGGCTGAAAGTATTGATGATGTGTGTATAGCTCACCTATAAAGATAGACTTTACCCTTTTGAAAAAAAGGGGAAATCATTATATTGTCATCAGTGTTGATATTGCAGCTACAGACTAATCAACAAATGGACTCTGAGAAGAGTGAAAATTAGTTTGATTCACTGCGAAACTGCAGTCGGTCAAAGGACCTCAGCCGAGTCAGAGGTCTTTTCAATGTTGCTCAGGAAGGATTTGCGTTCATGTAAAAAGAATGTGGCCACATGCACCCCAGACAACCTCCAAATGTGTTCTAAGTGTTCAGATCTCAGGACACAGTGAGTGTGTTCAGACCTGTACTTGCTGCTGACCAGTTGGGATCTGATCATTCTGGGTTGATGTTAATACTAGGTCTGTCCCATTGTGATCTCCATGTCACTGTGAAGAATAAACAACAACCAAAATAAATTTGTCTTTTGTAGGACTTGGATTCTCTTGTTACGGATACTGACATCACAAGTGCCATCAGCCAGGACGTCAGTTTGCATGATGCCATGGCTGCCACTGCTGGTGCCTTTGGTATGACATCAGAAAGAGGGGAGGTCCGACCAGTCACCCAACAAAGAGCCCTGTTCCGACTAGAATCCACAGGATCCTCACACTCAGATGTGTCACCAGGGATGGCCGTGGGCTTGGCTGCCCTCCCCTTTGCAACAGTATGTAATTTAACTAGAAATGAGTTATCGCATAGTGCACTGGGTGGCTGTCTGGATGAGGCAGTGTTTGACCAGATCAATCAGCTGGGTTTTGAAGGCCTCGACACCATTAGCTCCCACCTGATGGGCTGTCTCGAGAGCGTAGCACCACAGGCCCTTGAGGACATGGACTCTGACTCTGGTCTCTCCCTGGAGAGCAGCTCTGGAGGTCCAGTCTCCCCAGGTAAGTCCAAATCTCTACAAATGCTCATAGATCAAATGTATACCAATTGCTTGTGGTGCTAAGAAATGGTTTGTTATACATATTAACACAATAACTAACTCCTCCCTTGCCCAGGCTCATCCGAGATGTCCTCTTCATCCAGTTCATACTGTGAGGATGAGTGTGGAGCAACCGGCTACAGCAGTGATGTGGATTCACTCCCTTCAAAAGGCATTGCGGACTACACGACAGCATGGTCACCTGTTGATCTGAGTGAGAGTGTGTGGCATGACCACAGCTACTCATCACCTGCTTTCTTCAACCAGCCGTCTGTAACACTTTCCCACAAAGGTATCAAGGAGGAGCCTTTCAGCGATGACGACGACGAGCCAAGGTCGGAAGACAGGGAGCTGAGTCGCGATGAGCTTCGGGCCCGTGCCATGTACATCCCCTTCTCTGTCCTGCAGATCGTCAACATGCCCGTGGAGGAGTTCCTGGAGGTTCTTGATGGTCACGGCTTCTCCCCTGAGCAGGTCACACTCCTGAGGGACATCCGCAGGCGGGGGAAGAATAAATTGGCAGCGCAGAACTGCCGCAAGCGCAAGCTAGATGCCATCACTGGGCTCGAGGAGGAGGTAGAAAGGCTACAAGCTCAGAGAGACAGGCTACTGAGGGAGAAACAGCTTACAGCCAAGACTATGGGGGCTGTGGGCCAGCAGATAAAGCAGCTGACCAGAGACGTCTTGGCCCGGCTGAGGGATGATTCGGGACAGCCCCTCAACCCAGAAAGATTCACCCTGCAGTGCGGGGCTAATGGTAGAGTAGTTGTTCAGCCCTTAAGACGGCCTGCTGTCTCCACATCAACTGGCAACAAAACAGACAAGAGAAAGAAGGACAAAAAGCAGTGATGCAGTACTTGCCAGATAAGACTTGAGTTTTTAGTTTTTTTGAATATTTCTGAACTTAACTCACCAGACTCTGGGTTCGGGATCTCCTTCTGTATTAGTGTGTGTGGATTCACCACTGTTGGGACCCTAACTGGGCGCAAGCTGCAAAAAGAAAAAAAAAACTCTGAACATGAATAAACAAAAAATAATCTCTGTACATAAAATATCTCATGGGATAAAATGTAGCTCACACACTGGACACAACGTTTGCAAATTAAAGATGGACAAGGCACTAGAGGCAGATTAAGAGAACAGCTTAGATGCTGTCAACACCACCAGTTTCTCAACATTAAACTCACATCTTGTTTCCACAGATAATTCTTGACACGTCTAAAATCAAACATGGCCAGCATTGTGACAGTTACTGGAAAGAAATCTTTGAGGATGATTCTATTTGTTTGTTTGTTTCCATGTAATCTTGCTTCTCAGTGTATTCAGTTTAAAGAGAAGGTTAAAGATTGTATTTATTAAAGTTTCTGAGGTTCCTGAAATGCTTATGTGCATCACAAGACTGTCAAAGGCAGTGTTTTTTTTTCAAAGCGGAAACTTAATTACATAGAGCTAAGAATATTGGGACAGTACCTAAAGTTTACAGATTTGTTTTAGATACTTCGTGGCATGTAGCGCAGAAATTGGAACTGAAATGTTGAATAAGAGAATGAATATGTTCTTTTCTTTGTGTTTATTATGTACAGTATACCAATGATTAAACTGACAAGGCCTTAAATTAGCATTTGATAAGAGTTTTGGTTAGTGTGGGTGTGCACATTAGAAACAAATGCACATTTTTAAGAAAAAATCGTTTCCTGTTTAAATTTAATATTGAGTCTTTCATTTCAAGCTCATTCTGCTGACTCACTTTCTTTGAGAGTTACTAAAAGAGTTTTGACGAGATTATATTCTACCTCACGCCTCAGTTCTTATAGATTTTGGTGAAATAAAAAAGAAAACACTCTTTTTGTAAGTGCACTCATTAACTACAAATCCTTTGTTATTGAAATGATCCTAAATTGACTTAAACCACCCCTTTCCTGGAAAATACAATCACCAACTCTATTGAATATGAGTGAATGTTGTTTGGATGTTGCTTTTTATATACATTTGAGATTATCTGAGAGTTCAAATATTGAGTAGAAGTTCCTGTGTTATTCATGGAAGTGTTGCTTTATACCGTCGGCAGAGTGAGTGAATTAAATGGGACGAGAACTGCATGTAGTTGTTAATAGTGTGACTCATTAAATACCTTTTATTTTGTTATTGACCCTCACAAATTTGACTTTAATTTCCAGTCTTGCCCAAGAGTTTACTTTGCTGTTTCTATAAATGCTTAGGGAATTTCAAAAGTTGATTTTTTTTTGCAGGCGTTGTTCTTTCTGATTAAAAAAAAAAAGAATAAAATAAAGTGAAACAATTTGTGTATTTTTTTGTGCCACTTCCTTAGAAGCTCTGTCTGTAACCCACACTTGATGATCAGTTCTATTGAAATAGATTCCTCAGGACAATGTCTCACTGCTCAATTGCAACCGACGGCCACGAGGTGCAAAGGTGCAAAGCAAATCGCGTTTCGCCTCCAGGCTTCCGTAGAAGACCTACGATTATAGTCGAGTTATTTTGGCGCTCGACCTGCGGAGCTGCAGGCCCCAGATAAAGAGGAGGCAGACCGCGTGGTGAGGAAGCATCGCCGACGAGAGCAGTGCAGACCTTACGGTGAGTAAGTAAACTGATTCATTACTTTATAAAACAAGCAACCCAGCCACAGCATTGCTGCTCAGTGTAGCTCTTGTAGCTTAGAGTTAGCCACGGCGTGATCCCAACAGCACAAGCTAGCTATATTATTAAAGCCTTCATACTTGAGTATATGATCAGTGAATGCTACGACGTGTCTCGCAGTTTCCGGTTGTGTTTTGGGTAGATTATAGTCAGCTAGCATTTCCACGAAATAGCCACATCCCAAACCCTTTATAGGCGATTGGAGCGTTTCATTGGAGCTTTACAATTGCTTTTCTCCATCGCTAACGCCAAATCCCTACCTCGGACTTTAGCTTGTATGCTAACACCGCTCCTGAACCTGCAGCGTTGCACTGACGATGCAGAGCGAAGGTAATTGTATCTCCCATTCCAGGCCTGAAATTATATTAGCCACAGATAGCACGGTAGCTAACCCGCATAACGTTAATTCTCGAGTGGGTTTGCTCTGGTTAGCATTTTGCACAGCGCTCGGCTAAGCTAACTTGCGCGGTTCTCAGATGACCATTACAACAGTGTTTATGTTTTACACGTTGGCTTGTTCGTAAACGAGGCACTTATTCCATAACAGTAACGGCCATTGTAGTACCCTTCACCTGTGGAGTAATTTAAGTCCGTCTCCATAACTGAAGTGTGGATAAGAGCAACAACTTTTCGAATTTGACTCTAAGTACAAAGCTAAACTCTTTGGTTTGTCTGTACCTTTTTTTTCAGTGCACAACATGGGGAAAAAGCAGAATATGAAGGGGAAGAAGGATTCACAGGATCCGCAGGAGGAACCTGAAGAGTTTGTGGTGGAGAAAGTGTTGGATCAGCGTCTTGTTAATGGGAAAGTAGAGTTCTTCTTGAAGTGGAAAGGATTTACAGAGTGAGTTGCCCGGGACACCTGCTGCCCCCCACACCGCTGAGCTGGGAGTGCTTCCCTGGTATGGGGTCGTGCTATGCTTTTATCCATTTTATGGAATCAGCATTTCTGCATACAATCTAGTTTTTGAAAGTTAAATGCATTGTTTGTGCCTTCATTGGTGGGAGTCTTGAGATGCGAACGCTGACCCTCCTCTCTTTGCGGCTCCTTTTCAGTGCTGATAATACCTGGGAGCCAGAGGAGAACCTGGACTGCCCCGAGCTGATTTCAGGATTTTTGGAAGCCCAGAAGAACATCACAGAGAAGCCTGCTCCCGTCAAGAGGAAGGCATCAACTGAAGAGCCAGAGACGGAAGCAAAGAAGAAAGATGTGGTGAGTTGACTAATATTTTGATGCATCTCCAAGCAACATTTGAGTGAGATGATGCCATATTAATCTTAGCGATGAAAATTCTCTCTATGAGGAGCATTTGTCAAACTTAAAGGTCCAGTGTGTAAGATTTAGGTGAAAGGGAACTATTGCAGATAGTTGACCAATTAGGGGGAAAACCCTAAGGTTTAAAAAGGTTTTGATTGTGAAAACAATGTGAATCACACGCTTTAGCCATATCAAGTCCATTGAAAACCTATAGGATATTTTAATGAGTGAATGTGGTGTCCCAACACTATTTATGTGCGATGTTCCATTAAAAATGTCACCAGTCTGTCTATACTGTATTTAAAAGATCTGTTACTGAAATTGAACAGCTCCTGACCCCTATCCTTTAAGGGGTATATTACATAGGTGATTCTTTTGAGAGATACATCCTCTGGAGGGGCTTTATGTGAGCACACAAATGTCCAAATGAGAAACTCTGGACGCCTTCCCCTCTAGTAAAACCTCTGGATAATCTAAATGAGTTTATGTTAAAAGACAGCAGGAGATACTCTAAAGGATTCACTGCAAGTGAGTGCGAAAAACCCACAAGGATTACATATTTCAAGACTTGAGTGCATTGTTCATGTGTGAAAGGCAAAGTCCTGAGAAAGACTGGACCAACTTGTCTGGAAATTTTCTGGAGTTCATGTCTGAAAACAGCTTTAGTGAATCTTTACTTCTTTCCTACCTCAGTGTCTGAGCTGCAGCCAAATATTAGTTCCCCTTCCCACAGAGTATGTCGCTGGTCCAGTGCAATATTTTATATTTGGTACAACAAATCACAGCTCGAGTTTCTTCAGCGTGCACATGTGTTCTGTTGTCACCGTTTACAGGCTGAAAAACCACGTGGCTTTGCTAGGAACCTCGACCCAGAGCGGATCATTGGCGCAACAGACAGCAGTGGGGAGTTGATGTTTTTAATGAAATGGTGAGTCAAGAAGGAAATAAATCCTCCTATGTCCATACAGCCCAATCTCTATTTTTTAGTTAATCGTGCACTAGTCTGCCATTGTTCACTGTAAATAAAACATTATGTTTTTCTCCTTTTTTTTCTTCTAGGAAAGACTCAGATGAAGCAGACTTGGTCCCAGCCCGTGAGGCGAACACTCGCTGTCCTCAGGTGGTCATCTCCTTCTACGAGGAGAGACTGACATGGCATTCCTGTCCAGAGGATGAATCTCAGTAAAACCTTCCCCCGGTGTCCCTGCAGTCCTTTGCACCACTTATGCCCTTCTCCTCAGGACTGACATTTCTTCTCTGGCATGCTTTCTAGTTTTAGCTCGCTTAGTTATTTTTTGAAGATGTTTGAAGACTTGAAATGTTTGGCAGTCAATGAGAGCCATGTTATTTGTACATATTAGCTGAACTGATGGAGAGAAAATCGGTGATGGTGTTTGTTATTAATCAAAAGTCTTCCGGTTTCGTATTCTGATTAGTTCGGCGATGGCAGTGTAGAAGCCATACCCACCACTGCCTATAATCATACCTGGTCAAATTTTGTAAATTTGGTAAACTTTGGTTTTGTTAAGCTGTCAAACACCTCTGGTATTAAAATCTGTCATTTAAGAGTATGTTTCACACCAGTGATGTTTTCTAAATGTGGTCTTTGTATACTTTGTTTGTATATATTATTTGAAGTTCTAATAAAGGTTTTATGTGACCAAATCCCACTCATTAGTTACGGTTCCAAAGGTTTAGAAAGTAAAATCAATATTCAGATTTAAGTATAGCTATTCCTTTATTTTTCCTAGATGCATTACAAAAAAATTTCATTTTAATAAGGGGTTGAAACTTTGACTTTGGGATGCTGCCAGGAAAGCACAGTTAAATTTAAAGTGATAACAAAGTGCAATAGTTTGATTTGATAGTTACAGCTGCATTTTTCAGCCGTCTCCTGAAGAGTTTGATGTTTGATCTCTGTCACAGAGCAAGTTTTCTTACTCTTCTCTTTCCTGCACATGGAAGGCTTGTAGTATACATGTATGCTAATCTAGACATATTTACCTTTACTCCTGTGAGATTTTAAATGTTAGACTTTCCTTTGTGAGTTTGTTCAGTTTTGGTATTCCTGCTATGTTTGAATAAATAATTTCCTCCCCCCCATAGTGCCAAGAACTTTATGATTTTGCAAAATAGACTCAGTTGATTTCCCAAACATTTTGTGGAGTTATAGGACATCACCCAAGGAAGAACCCATTCATTTTTTTGCAAATACAGGAACTTTAATTTTGCAAAATAGAGCGTCAACTTTTTCAATTTTTTTCTCAGAATAATTTATAAATATTGAGGAAACGGATTAGGCATGATCAGGACATTATTGGTGCAGATTCAAATAAATATCTGGATCTAATGAATTTAATTTTAGTTTTATTTAGGTCTGTGAATTGGTGGACGTATGCACTTTGCTGAAAGCCATTTTTTGTTATTATTAAATCTCAGCACCTCATCACCTATAAAACAACCGCGCTCTGATGTCAGAGCTATCTTTGACAGTCCCATCACTGGTATCAGGCTGTGGGAGATGGACTTCTAGTTATGTGCATGTGCCTAAAATTAAGAAAAATGTATTAGATTTTTTTCTACACTCATGAATCAGTAAGGCCGTCAAGTGGCAAAATCCCATTTTACCAAAAGGAGTGTACATATGATTCAGTTTGAAACCAAAACACTATCACACAGCTTGTCATGGCGTTATTAATGACCATAAGCTATGTGTGTGTGTATGCTATGTAAATATTGCACTTGTAACTTGAGATGCAGGAACAGTAGGAGGGCAGGTTCATGTAAACACTTTTTTAAGAAATCAAATCAGGTGTTTTTATACATGACACCTTAAATCTGGAATGTCTTGATTAAGTCAGAAGTGCAGCACAATCTCACCACTTGTATGCAAATCTTCTACATCAGGAATCAACCCATGATCAAACACTTAACTCTGCATTCTTTAAGATTATAATTGGATTGTCTACATGTTGCTGCTTGGTTTAAAAGTTGGAAAATGGACACAATAGCTTGTGAATTACTTTGATTATAAAATATAATTTGGTACATACATAATGATTGGTGTAAATATGTATACATTTCAATGTGAGTGAAGGACGTGACTTTGTGTGCACACCACAATCGCAGGACATAATCTCAGACTTTGTGTTTAAGGGTTGTCTTTTTTTCCTTGACTTTATCTCAGATTGCTCTTAATCGGCCACTTCAAGTGATTTAAATTATCTTAAAGCTTCAAAACAAAGCCTCTTATTACAGTTTGAAACCGAAACGCAAAAAGTGAAGAGACTTATCTGTTGATGTCACCTTCGATGAGGAGACCCCTTTATATGCAAAATAGTCTCCCGCTTTTTAACCTTTGCCCCTCTGTCATACCTTCACCCTCTCAGTACTTATTTATAGTCACATCACACTGGGTCAACATCCCCTTCTTGGCTGGACTGAAACTTGGAATAAACCTCTTTGGTCAAACGTAAGAACTCTATGATTTTATTGTTCAATCTAATTGCAGGCCATATGCACATGTATTGTTCTTTCCATTGTGGTGGTGGTGGTAGGGTACCGTGTGGTTTGGCCCAGGGTTTACAGGGCATGTGCTGCATCAGGAGAGAAACTGCTGGTGTAAGTTTTGGTGAAAGAGGAAAAGTGATTGATAACAAAAGGAATTAATGGCAAGACTGTAAAAGTTGTGGGTGTTGGTTTGTGTGAACCATTATCCCATGATGATAGAATATCTTTCTAAATAAGCGTTAGGCCTTTTGTTGCTGTTATTTGCACTTTCCCTCTTTTTCCTGTGGGAAATCATGTTGTCTGTCCAGTGGCTCCTGTTAAAAACACCATGGATGAGAAATTCTGAAAGAATCATAGTAAAACTTAACGACTGTGTTGTCCGGTTTAGCTTTTCTTAAATTCCAGAATCACACAATAAAA